TTATAGGGGATGGCGCATCTGGGCCACTCCTTTGAAACGTGGGTGCCGTCCACTTTGTGACCAGCAAGCACACATCAAGTGAACTGGACAGTCAGCAACCAGTCGTACTAGTCCCGCCGATACTGCTGTGGCGGTGTCTGCCTCGCACCTTACACTGTCGGCACTCTTTCCAACAATGCAGAATGTGAAGCCATTTGAGTACTGAACCGAAACTCCATACGGGCATATGGACTGCCAGTGTGCCTTTACACATATACGCCTGCATATGTATGTACATGCGTGCCATCTGTTGCACATGTGCATGGGATAACTTTCGTAGTCATTCGTTGTCAACCAGACAAGGGTGCATCCATCGGCCTCATTGCTGCGGTTGCTCAGCGGTTGGTGAAGTGTGTGTATGGCATGAAGTACATCAGCCCCTTTCGGTCCCCCTCCGGGGCGGCTGTGCAGAACTTGCCCTTCAGCTCACTTAGCGGCAGCCCTAGGTCCTGCCACATCTCCCACTGGCTGCCTACCCTCGCTGTCTGGGCGGCCGCCATGTTGACCACCACCAGCCCCCCGCTGAACACCTGTCCCGAGTACACATCTGCAACAGTGAAGCGGACATCCTGAGCACCATCTTCTGCGGGCAGGTGGACGAAGTACTTGAGGTAGGCCGCATACGTCCGAGTCTTGTTGCCGACTTCTGCCTGGTAGCATGCCCAGCAGGAGGTCCGCTGCTGCTGGCGCCCATACTCAGCCCCGAAGTACTGCTCCTCGTCGAGTGCCTTGGCACGCAAAAAGGAGTGGGCCTTGGGACAGTCGGGTGGTGTAGACATGAGAACCCTATCCAGGCGGTCCGTGTCCAGTTCATAGCTCGCACTGGGACCCAATGTCCAGGAAGCCACATCCTCGAATGCCAGGGCATACCAGTGCACTAGGCTCGCCATGGCTGCCCGGACTTGTGCCACTCATTCTGGACTCGGATAGACCATGTGGCCTCATCCAAGCAGGTAACCGTTGGCTCCTGGTTTATCAAACCAGGCAGCCTCGGTGTTCACTGCGCGCCGTGCCAACATCCTCTCAAGCTGCTGGTTGGTCGTGTGTTTGGCCCCGGTCGCGGGGTCTGCCTCGGTGAGCGACTCGGAGGCCCGCATCAGGCACAGCCACTGCGTGTAGTGCTTCTCGGGTGCCTGTGACACCATCCTTCCGCCTTGCGTCTTCATTTGCTGCATCATGCGTTCCACCGGCAGGTCGGAGAACCCTGCCGCGGACCCAAGCTGGCACTCCTGGTCGTACAGCCGGCATATGCAGATATGCAGGTTGACCGTGAACATGTAGTCCGGCACCTCCAACTCCTCCAGCCTGGTCGTGTAAGCTCTGAGCTTGCATGCAGCCGCCTTGGCTGCCACCAGGAACTGCTCACGGGTCTCGTCGGGGGGCCGCGGCCAGAAGTAGTGCGTGACCGTGCTGCACAGGCTCCAACACAGGGCCCGCAAGGCCTCGGGCAGCACGTCCCCCTTGAAGATGTAGCTGGAGAACGTCTCAACGAAGTGCAGCCAGTCCTCCATGCGGTAGCTCTTGCTGCATGGGTGGAGGGGGCCAGTGTGGCGAGCAACCGTGTAACTAGAAGAAGTACATTACATAGGTAGAGTAGCAAACTCTCTGACAGACGAAGGTGTTTTTTTCAGGCAAGCCCCTGGTCGTATTTGCTTTCTCGGCTATTAGCGACCCCCGTGTGTGGCCGGCTGCCCAGTGCTGGCCGTGCTCACCGGTACTGCATGATGCATTTGTACCGCCGCCCGAAGTCCGAAGTCACGACCAGGAACTGGCCGCGGGCCGCGAACCGCTGGCGTGCTTCACGAGACATGACCAGCTTGGCATCTGGGTCTGCTGGCTTGATGTCTTTGAGCGACCTCAGCGTGTAGTCCACAAAGTCGCTGACCACTCCGAACAGCAGGGCATGGCCGGTGGAGACGGTGAAGAGGCACGACAGGTCGACGTACGGCAGGGCCGCAAAGGCAGTCAGGCCCTTGCACCCAGTCTGGAGCGCCGCCTCATCGAACTGCTTCTGCGTGATCTTGTGTGGAGTCCCAAGGTGGAGCATCCTGTACATTGCCTGCATGACACTGCCCGCGCTGACGAAATGCCGATGGGTCTTCTTGAGAGCCCNGGGCGCCGACCTT